ACATCCAAATAGGCAGGTGTGGCAGTGTGGACCCGGAACCCCAGCACTCGGGAGACTGAGGTGAGGCTCTGCATAGCTCAGCGCTGGCCACACAGGGAGAAAGAGTCACAGCACTCCTGGTGTTTCCCCCAGCTCTCCGCTGCCAACCCTTCCACATCACCTCCGCTGCTTTGTGAATCCGAGAACCCTTAGGACTGCTTCTACGAAGGGTCCCAGGGCCACCCCACTTGGCTAAAATGAAGAGTGGGCAAGAGCAAACAAAGATCAGGGCACCCACACAACAGAGACAAGACCAGTTACCTAAGCCAAGGACAACTCCAGAAGCCTACAGCCCTACACAAACCCACCAACACTAGCAGCCCCGACACCACGTGCCTCCTCCAGAGGCCAGGACTCCTATTGTTTTAGCCCCAAGGAACACAACTTACCTGAAAGAATCCTACAAGGGCCTTAAAGAGGATGAATAAGTAAGGACGGTGAAAGCATAAGCCAACAGTTAACTAAACAATAGGACCAATTCAAACCACAAAGCAGAATTCAACAAAGAAATAGAGTCACCAAAGAAAACCCAAAACTGATATAAAACTAGGAATAAAACCTTAGAAAACCAAACAAAACCCTGAGAGGTATGCCTCTCCAACAGACTGCTGGACACACAAGGGGAAACTTCAGGCATTGAAGGTAGAAGTTAGCTGGTGGCACAAAAATACTCAATAAAATACTTGCAAACCGAGTCTAAAATGATCATCCATTGTGATCAAATAGGCTTCATCCCAGCAATGCAAGGATGGTTCAATCTATGAAAATCAAAAAATGAAATCCACTGAAAACAAAAACATGATCATTTCATTAAATGCAGAAAGAGTCTCTGACAAAATTTAACAAGCCATCATGATAGACCAGGACAAGGAGCAGACCTCAGCACAATGAGAGCAATTTACAGCAAGCCCACACCCACTGCTACTAAAATCAGGAATGAGAAAAGGTCCACTCTGTCCTTCCCTATTCATTACAGAACTCTTAACTAGAGCAATAAGACAGTTGGAAGAGCTCAGGGGATTCAAACAGTAAAGAAGTCAGAGTATGTTTATTTGCATATGATATGCAAATATATAAGGCCGTTTTATATATAAGGGTCTTCAAAAACACCACACGAAAATTTCCACAGCACATAAACACTTTCATTAAAATAGCACGACACAAACATCAGTAGCCTTCTTTTAGACAAGAAAAAAATGGGCTAGGAAATTAGGGAAACACTACTTTCCACAAGAGTGTAAAAACAAACAAACAGGAAAACTTGGAATAACTAACCAAGTAAAAAAAAAACATGTATAATAAAAATTTGAAGACACTAAATAAATTGAAGATATCAGAAGATGGAAAATTTTTCCATGCTCATGGATCACTAGGATTAATACTGTAAAAATGACTACCCTGTGAAATACAATTCCCCATCAAAATTCCAACACAATTCTTCACAGAAATTGAAAAAAAATCAATCTTTAGCTTCATATTAAAATACACACACACACTGACAGACACTCCAAAAACA